TGTCAATCTATTCCATTGGCAGTTATTCTCCCCAAAGACAGTAACACTGCATATCCATATTATATTTTTTTGCAGCTCTTTTCTTTGTCTCCCACTTCCTTGATATGAGTAGTACGGTAGTTATTAAGTACAGCGGAACGTTCAATAGAATTATAATTTCCAACCTTCACCTCTTCCGTCTCCTGAATGACTAATGTCTGGTAGCCATTTATGAAGCACACTTTAATTATAACTCTGTCTATTATTATTCGTCAGATTTGGCCATGATAAAAAAAGTTAATTGTCATTGGTCATGTTTTTACTTCTTTAAAATTACCAGATAGAAATGTGACATATGTCAAAGTTTTCCACTCACTTTCCCACTCTTAAACTGTGTTTATTTTATACACATATTGTAAATGAGATGTATAATTATATCTCCAGATACCTGACACAAACTATTTTCAGATTTACCATAGATCTGATGTACACGGGTGATGTCTGTTCATATTCACACACTGACTTATTGTATTTTATGGTAAATAAATTGGAAGCCTCATACATAACGCTTGTCAATGTGCTAAAAGTTATATTTTTAATTAACCTCTTTGAAACAGCCAGACTGCTTCCGAAGTTACTATAATTACAGTTAGTATTAATTATATTACACTGCCTTGTAACCATGGAAACATATGTGCATATTATATTGGTGATGACAAATGCTGTCTTCCTTTCAGGAGTTGGAATTTTATATTATTCATTTCAATCTATATTTATAACATACATGTATTTGCATTGTAATTTAATCTGTATTTTTCACAGGGTGAGTACAATAATGTGCTGGACAAATGCCCATTGCTAGCAGTATTTACTGTGGGTATTAATGTGTTTTTAACAAAATTGAGATTAGAAATTCTAACTGCTCCAATTAACATGATTTGAAGTATCCTATGATGGTGGTTATTATATTATTGCTAGATGACTGAAAGAACAATATAATTTGATTCAACTAAAGTCTAGTTCGTACAATAAATGTCAAAAAAAAAACAAGCTTACCTCCATCATGACGCTATCTCTCCTCAGTGCCATCAGCATAACTGGACCCAACAACTTTCGACAAACCATTTGCAAAAACTTTTTTCTTCTGCAACAACACCCAACAAGTCTTCTCATCTAGTTGAGAAGTATAAATTTGTTTATTGTTTAGAAGCATAATAGTGGAGTCATAATGCTATAGTATGAAACACTGATCAGCACAATACGTCAATATTGACACTACATGTACATACAGTGTATTCTTCCATAAGCACAAAATTATTCCTTGTTTGGGCCTCCTCACTGTGGCACACTCAGCCAGGGTACAGTGGCCTCCTCACTGTGGCACACTCACCCAGGGTACAGTGGTCTCCTCACTGTGGCACACTCACCCAGGGTACAGTGGTCTCCTCACTGTGGCACACTCACCCAGGGTACAGTGGTCTCCTCACTGTGGCACACTCACCCAGGGTACAGTGGTCTCCTCACTGTGGCACACTCACCCAGGGTACAGTGGTCTCCTCACTGTGGCACACTCACCCAGGGTACAGTGGCCTCCTCACTGTGGCACACTCACCCAGGGTACAGTGGCCTCCTCGTCACTGTGACACACTCACTAAGAATACAGTGGTCTACTCACTGTGGCACACTCACCCAGGGTATAGTGGTCGCCTCACTGTGGCACACTCACCCAGGGTCCAGTGGTCTTTTCACTGTGGCACATTCACCTTGAGGGTACATTGATCTCCTCACTGTGGCACACTCACCCAGGGTACAGTGGCCTCTTCCTCACTGTGGCACACTTACCCAGAGTACAGTGGCCTCTTCCTCACTGTGACACGCTCACCAAGGATAACGTGGCCTCCTCACCCAGGGTATAGTGGTCTTACAGTGGCACACTCGCCCAGGGTACAGTGGTCTTCTCACTGTGGCATACTCACCAAGGGCACAGAGGCCTCCTCACTATGGCACACTGACCCAGGGCACA